GCACAATTGGTTGCAAGCAAAGAGTTGAGCAGACCTGTGGGTGACACAGCTTAGAAACCTGCCTCAAGAAGAATCTGATAACCAGAAGTATAATGACCAAGAGCAAAAGAAGGACAGAGGCACAATGAATATTACTGAAGACTCCCCTGCCAAGGAGCAAAAGCCTATGCCAACCTCAGAGTTAACTAAGAAAGACACCGAGAAAATGGGGGACACAGAATTCAGAAAACTAATTTTAAAGCTTCTGATCAACAACAAGAAGCACATACAAGAGTTCAACGAATTTAAGGAATATTTTACACAAGCAACAGCAGCAATAAAATAAATCAAGGCTGATATATCAGAAATGAAGAATACAGTGGAGCAAATAAAAAGTACATTGGAGAGTCTGCAAAACAGAATGAAGCAAGCAGAAGAAAGAATCTCAAAATTGGAAGATATTTTCTGTCATCAGGGGGAAGCAAACAAAAAGCTGTAAGCAGAGCTGGATCAGGCCAAAAAAAGTATTCAAGAATTGAAAGACACTATTAAGAGGCCTAATATAAGAGTTATGGGAGTCTCAGAAGGTGCAAAAGAAGAAACTGGTTTTACAAATATATTTAATGAAGTAATAAAGGAAAATTTCCCTAATCGAGAGAAAGAATTGGAAACAGCTCCCAGGAGGGGCACAGACCTCCCAACAAGCCTGATCAAAAGCAATCTTCACCAAGACATATGATAATCAAGCTCTCTTCAACTGAACATAAGGAAAAGATACTTATATGTGCGCATGAAAAAAGTCAATTGACATATAAAGGAATGCCAATTAAACTCACAGGAGATCTCTTACAGGAAACTCTACAGACCAGAAGAGAATGGAGTGACACATTCCAGATCCTAAAAGAAGAAAAATTGTCAGCCTAGGATAACATATCCAGCAAAGCCTTCTTTTGTCTTTGAAAATGAAATAAAATTCTTCCACAGTAAAGAAATTAAAAGAATTTGCCTCTTCCAAACCTGTCCTACAATTGATATTTCAAAATGTTCTCTTGACAGAGAAGAGGAATAGCACCAAACAAAACCAAAGGCAAATGTGAAGAACATTCTGGTAAAATGACAACAGAAGGCTAAACCAATGAACAACCCATTCCTAAAAACGACAGGACCAAAGTACCACCCATACATATTAACCATGAATGTAAATGGCTTAAGCTCCATCAAACATCATAGATTAGTAGACTGGATTAAAAAACAAAACCCAGGCCTGGCAGCATGGACTAGCAGCTAAAGTCCTTGCTTTGAGCGTGCCAGGATCCCATATGGGTGCCAGTTCTAATTCCAGCAGCCTCACTTCCCATCCAGCTCCCTGCTTGTGGCCTGGGAAAGCAGTCGAGGATGGCCCAATGCTTTGGGACTCTGCACCTGTGTGGGAGACTTAGAGGAGGTTCCTGGCTCCTGGCTTCAGATTGTCACAGCACCAGTTGTTGTGGTCACTTGGGGAGTGAATCATTGGAAGGAAGATCTTCCTCTCTGTAGATCTTTGTAATAAAAATAAATCTTAAAAAATATTGTGGGGCCCCAGCGCGGTGGCCTAGCAGCTAAAATCCTCACCTTGAATGCACTGGGATCCCATATCGGCGCCGGTTCCAATCCCGGCAGCCTCACTTCCCATCCAGCTCCCTGCTTGTGGCCTGGGAAAGCAGGTGAGGACGGCCCAAAGCCTTGGGACCCTGCGCCCGTGTGGGAGACCCGGGAGAGGTTCCTGGTTCCTGGCTTCGGATCAGCACAGCACCAGCCGTTGCGGCTCACTTGGGGAGTGAATCGTCAGATGGAAGATGGTCCCCTCCGTCTCTCCTCGAAGAGACACATTTCATCAACAAAAATCAGCGGAAATTATGTCACATGAGTTTTGATGTTTTGTTAGTTTCATCTCTTCAAAATACCTCCTTGTGATTAAATCATTCAATGACTCAGATCATGCATAGCATCATTTTCTGCAAGAAGGTTCTTGATTTTCATCTCTTCAGCTACACGTTAGTCATTTAATAGTATGTTATTTAACTTCATGGTGTTGTTAATTTCTTTTTTCTTCCTGTTATTTTGTTTTGTGGCTTTTAAGAGGATGTATAGTACCTGTGTAATGGAGACTGTCATATCTAGTCACGTTATTTAACTTCATGGCATTGTAAATTTCTATTTTTCTTTCTATTGTTGATTTTGTATTATGACTTTTCATTTCAGGGGATGTACAGTAGCTGTGGAGACTAACATATCCACATGTGATGATACAATGTAGTATGCATTTGTACTTCCAAAGATGGACTTAGAATGAAACTGTTTACTATATCTTGACAATAGGATGCTGGATTCTCTGCCATTGTTTATGCCCGCAATGATGCAAATATGACTGTGTATGAAGAACTATACTTTATTAATGATATAGAGGAACTAGGTGGGGGTGGGTTGGGGCAGGGATAAAAGAAATACCAGGACTAGGAGCCTGTGGAACTGTATCACAAAATGATGATGATGGACTGTCAGACATTGTACCAGCAATGTTGGGACATATTTAAATAACAGACTGATGCAATTGAAACTCCTTATGAAGGACTATACTATTGTAAAAATATGGGGAAAATCAGTGGGGGGTGGGAATTGTGGTGAAGGGAATCCTAGAATACAGATCTGTATCATCAAATTCAAATTTTAAATAAAAATTTTTTAAATTATGGAAAAAACCTAGGGGCGCGGCCATCAGTGATGCATCCGGCAGACACAGTAGGTGACAAGGCCATGATCCTGCCACAGCCAGAAATGACATACAGGTGATGGGACCCTACCCGTGACGCTGACCCCGATCCTTTAATATGTTTTAAAAGATGAAACGAAAGCATCATCTGCTATGGATGTTAAAGTTGTGTAAGCAAAACTAAACTGGTCACCAAAAGTCAGTTCATTGAAGCAAATAAAAGATTGTACCATTGTTTAATGCCTCGTGTGAAGCGAGAATTATACGTACTTTTCAAAAGCTGTAATTACAGAGGAAGAAAATGCGAACATATTATTGGCCACATTACTACAGATGCTATTACACATGGGGCAGTCATCAAGGTTAAACTAAAATCAATACTGAAGGGTCCAGCATGGTGGCCTAGTGGCTAAAGTTCTCCTCACCTTGCATGTGCTGGGATCCCACATGGGTGCTGGTTTTAATCCTGGTTGCTTGACTCCCCATCCAGCTCCCTGCTTGTGGCCTGGGAAAGCAGTCGAGGACGGCCCAAAGCCTTGGGACCCTGCACCTGCATGGGGGACCCAGAAGATCTTGGTTCCTGGCTATAGATTAGCACAGCTTTGGCCTTTGCAGCCACTTGGGGAGTGAACCAGCTGGTGGAAAAATCTACCCATCTCGCCTCTGTGTATGTCTAACTTACTAATAAAAATAAATCTTTAAAAAACAAAAACAACAAAACTCAATACTGAAGATACAAAACAACTCATGACCTTACAGGTAAAAGAGGAAAGTAGGTGAACCATACAGGGGGATAAGACAAAAAGATTAAACTGCTCAGCAGCTAACATGCTCAGTGCTGGCTACACAGTCCTCACACTGAGCACCTCACAACTTAAGTGAGACAGACAAAACGTATAACCATTGCAAGTGAACCATTTTGTAGTTATTTTGACCTAGTTTAAAGGCACTGTGTCAGAACAAGCAATGGACAAAATAGATTTCCACCAGTTGATTCCCACGAGCCTGGAACCGCGTACGGGCGTCCAATCATCTGCTGCTTCTCAGGATGTGTGCCAGGAGCCAATTAGTAGCAAAGCAGCCAGGACTCAGACGACACTACAGGCAGACACAAGCATCCCAAACGAAGGGTAAAGTCCCTAAGCCAATATTTACTATGCTAATGGCACAGCTGAGATTTTCCACAGGGTGTCTTCCTGACTGACCACAGAATTCAGAGAAAACATAGCCTAGAAAATGCTGTAGAGGGCCTAGTGTGATAGCCTAGTTGCTAAAGTCCTTGCCTTGTGCCGCAGAGATCCTATAAGGACGCCAGTTCTAATCCCAGCAGCTCCACTTCCCATCCAGCTTCCTGATTGTGGCCTGGGGAAGCAGTCGAGGACTGTTTTGGGCTCAAAGCCTTGGGACTCTGCACCTGTGTAGGATACCCAGAAGAGTTCCTGGCTCCTAGCTCCGGATTGGTGCAGCTCCGGTCATTGTGGCAATGTGACTCATTGGACTGAAGAGTTCCCTCTCTGCCTTTCCTCCTCTTTCTATATATCTGACTTTGCAAAAAAAAAAAAAAAGCTGGAGATACGAAAACCAGTATGTTGACAAGTAAAAACAGGAAAAATGGAGCTTGGAGCATATAATGAAAATTACACAAAACATACATGAAGACATTATTGACACGAGAGTCTTTTTAATTTGACACACACCTGACAAAATATTTCAGAATAAAATAACCCATGAACAGCTACAAGATTTTATGGTAACAGAAGTGTGGGGGCAAAAAAAAACAAAAAAACAACAACAACAAAAAAAAACCCAAAAAACAAACTTAATAGAATTCACTAACAGAAATTTCTAAAATTTTTAATTGTAAATCTGGAAAACTTTCAGCCAGTCATAACCTGGTCTTGAGCCATGAATGGTGATGCATGAGGCCCAGGGTGGGAGGTACAAGCTCTAACCCCTTTGGCATGTAAGGACCCCGTCAGTGTAAGTTGGCAGGGAAAAATGAAGCGCCACATCTTAAAACAAGGAACTAAGATGGAAGACTCCACTGCAAACAATAAAAAACAAAACAGCCACCCCGTCATGCTCATGTCTCTCTTGGTCTCCCATAGAAGGCTGAGAAGGACTCTTACTTTCTCAATGTTCCCTGTTAGCAAAAATTCAGCAACCCGAGACTCCACCTTTCCATGACATAAAAGCTAATAAACACCTAGCAACTGTTCAATATTAATAAACTAATTTACTCGAACAAGTAGAAAATAGCTTTTGTGGTTTGAAAATACATGTATGGGAACATTTTCCTCAAGTTTGTTTCATGCCTGATTCTTAACCATCCCAGCAGATCAGCTTTCTGAATCAGATCAGCTTTCTTTCAGCTTTCTGAAATCACTTCCACAGACACACAATGATACACCAATTTAACTAGAGGTCTGGAGCACTGCTTGCTCTTGGTTACTAAATGGAATGCCTACCCAACCTGTCATTCAAATACACTTGAGAAATGAATTTTATCTATGAGACATGGTAGAAATGTGCTGATTTACAAGATAGCCACATAACCAGACTATATATATATGTATAGATGTATGTATATGCATATAAAAACAATCAAATGCTTACTCTTTGTAACACTACTTGGACCATTAATACAGCATACCACACACTTGTACAACTACCAATCCACCTAACTACCCAACAAGCTACAATTTTGAAGAACAGCTCTGACAGCAGGTCTGTGGAGCAAACGTTCCCATGGGAGTCAGATCTGTTGTTCTTCCACAGACGGCTCCAGAGCTTCCATGAGCTTCTTATTGGCTTCTTCATTATGCCGGCTTTGGCAATGAGTCAGATGTTTCTTGAAGCCTCTTGGGAAATTCGATTCAAAATTACAACGTGGACATTTAAGTAAACTTTGCCCATGGGCTGCTACATGATTTTTAAGGAGAGATTCCAAAAGAAAAGCCTTTCCACAAATTGTGCATTTGTAAGGGCTGTGGACATTGTGTTTATTAACCAAATGGTGCAAAACAGCACCTTTCTTCATAGCACGGCAGCAGCAAATTTTGCAGTAATACTTTCCTTTTCCACGCTTCATATATTTTGCAATCTCTTCTTCAGAGATAAAAGCCTCTTTTTCTTCAGTAAATTGTGGTACATTTTTGGACTGTTCTGGACTAGTCAGGTCCATTTTGCTATCTTTGCTAAAATCCACAGATTCCACATCCACCTGTTCCTGGTCACTGCTCGACTCCTGCCCCTTGATGTCCAATGCATCCAGATCTGTCTTTATGTACTCACTACTACTGAGCTCCGCATCCGAGCTGTCCTGGTTGTCTTTCTTGAGCTTCTTGGAAGATGGGAACAAAGTATCTTCCAAGAGCTTCTTAGGAGTAGCTACAAGTTCTTCTTGCTCACTGATGGCATCTACCTGCAGCTCACCACTCAGCTCAGCTGCCTTCTGAGACTCTGAGAACAGGGCTGAGCGGGGAAGTTCAGGGAACAGACTATGCTTCCAGGGCTCTGGGAAAAGCGCCCGTTTCCGCAGCTCAGGAGAAGCCGGAGGCGCCGTCTTGGTGGACTCGGCAAACAGAGGAGGCTTCCTGGGCTCAGTATCAATGGACAGGATGGGCTTCCAGATATCCGAGGCTGTTTTAGGGGACTCAGACGGGCCAGGAGGACCAGGCTTTCTGGTATCAGGGAAGACGGGTTTCTGAGGTTCAATAAAGAAGGAAGACTTCCACACATCAGGAGAACCACCACGGGAACTCTTCTGGGACTCAGGAAAATCCAGTGAACCAGGAGAAGTTTTCCGCTGCTCAGGAGAAAGCTTCCACAGATCTGGAGACCCTGACCGTTTCCTGAGCTCTGGCGATGCTGCCGGACTGCGGATCTCAGGAGACGGTGGTGGGCCTGCTTTGCAAAGCTCAGGAGACACTGCGGGAACTGCCTTCCAGGGTTCGGGTGACAGGGTAGGGGCTGTCTTTCGGAGCTCTGGTGGGCCAGACTTCCATGACTCGGGAGATGTGGGGGGCGTTTTCCAGGACCCAGAGGACTTCCAAGTGGCCGGGGTTGCAGATGGAGTTGGCTTCCAGGGTCCAGGTGAGACAGAAGGGATTGGTCTCCAAGGTCCAGGAGACACAGATGGTGCAGGCTTTGCTGGCTTCCAAGGCCCAGATGTGGCAGAGGGGCTGGACTTCCAAGGCCTAGGGGACCCAGGAGGCCCTGGCTTCCAGGAGCCTGGTGACACTGCTGGGGTTGGCCTCCTGGGCTCTGGGGAGACAGCAGGGAATGGCTTCCAAGGTTCTGGAGACTCAGATGGGGATGGCTTCCTGGGCTCGGGAGAAGCAGCCTGGGCTGGCTTTCGAGACTCAGGCGAGGCAGTTGGGGAAGGGCCCCAAGGCTCAGGAGAGGCATTCAGAACAGGAGATCCAGGTGATAAGGCTGGCGGTGGCCCCAATGTTTCTGGGAAGTGTGAATGCTTCTGGGCTTTGGGATTAACGAGAGGAGATTTGACGAGCTCTGGGGAGACTGGGCCAAGCCTCTGTGGCTCTGGGGAAGGTGCAGGGCCAGGCCTTGGCAGTTCAGGAGAAGACACAGGGGAGGGCAGAGGCGTCTGTGAGTCAGAAGAAACGCCAGGCCCAGGCTTTGGAGGCTCCAGGGGAGACTTTGGTGACTCTGGTGACAAGTTTGGACCCAGTGTCGGTGGTTCGAGGGAGAGGGAAGGTGCCGACTTCAGCTCTGCAGAATGAGAGGACGTCTTCTGGTGCTCAGACAGAGGGGGGCTTTTCACAGGGTCTACGTCTGCATGCAGCTCGTGTTTGGGTTTGTCACCCCAACGCTCTGGGGCTGCATGTTTGGATGTGATGTGATGGTACACGTTGGAGTACATCTTGCTAGTGAAGAAGCATTTGTGGCAGTGGAACAGCTTGGCGCTCTTCTGGTAGAAGATCATTTTACCTAATCCACCAGTGTCCATCTCATCACAGAACTCCGGGTGGACAGTGCCCATGTGGATCTGTACGTTCTCATAGTCAGTCCCTCTGAAATTGCAGTGGTCGCACTCCCAACGTGCTGTTGCCTTCTGGAGCTCCCGGAACACCTCCATTGTTGCCACAACACACAGACACTTCTAGCACTGCAAGAAAGAAGACAAAGAGCGCAAGTTTAATGCAACGCTAGCCTGGTCCACCCTAACCAGCACAGGCTGTATGTGTCAGATGCTCTCATTTCTGACTGAGTTCCAGGCACACCACCAGGAGCTTTCCATGGATCTTCTCTTTAATCCTCCTAACAGCATGACTGAAAAATTATTTTCATCTACAGACAAACAGACTGAGAATTAACTTGAACCTGATCCCACAATTCACTACTGGAGGGCTCTGAAACCTTGAACCAACAAGTCATCAGCACACAAAGAGAAGTGAATACTAACATTATATCCAGGCTGTTTGAGACTGAACAAGACATTTTCAATTTTTATTAAATTTTAAATTTTTTTAAATTTAAATTTTAAATATTAATTAAAATTACATTTTAATTAAATGTAGCTTAAAAACATTTTATAAAGAAAATCTTACAGTTTGAATTAAATCAACATACACTGTAATACTCTGCTCATGTTAAGTATTTTATTAATTCATTTAGCAAATCAACCATTTAATGTCCTATAGTACATAATCTAGCTTGGGGTAGGGGTGGATCTAAAGGCTCAAAGGGAGAGAGACAATTTCAGAAAATTGTTTTTAGGGCTTGAAGGAGAATAACAAAAGAAAACCACAACTGGCTGAAGAAACATCTGAAAAAAAAAAAACTAAAAAACCCTGACTCTACAAAGAAATATGTAGAAATAAGAAGCTGGCCATTCACCTCAGAGTTCAATGTTCCAAACAACTAAGGACTTGAGAAAAGAGGGTGTCTCCAAGATTCCACTTGGTCCTAAGCGGCAATAATGAACACCCAGGACGCATACATTCCAGCAGCTGGGCATGTGGTGTCGTAAGTTACAGGAACCAACAACTCAGGTTGGAGGGCTGAATCACACTGATATATCACTCCCTGTATCTCCCAACTGTCTCCCACCCCAGACTAATGACTCTCCCAACCAATCTGTTTCTACTGCATATGCTTGTCTATTCTTACTTGAAAAAAGAATATTTAAGACTAACAGGGTGGGCAATTGGCCTAGCACTCCCATACCCAAGTGCCTGGGTGCAAGCCTCGGCTCCGCTGCCTATTTATGCGCCTCCTGAAGGGCAGCGACCAGTGCCGGCTCTGGACACCTACACTGCAAGTGGGGTACTCAACTCCCAGCTTGTCCTGCCCAGCCCTATCTCTGTCTCTCAAATAAAAAAACCAATGTTCCAGAATTCACTTCTGATATCTCAAACTCTATCATCGGCTGCGCACAGAGCATACTCATTCCCAGTGACATTATCTGTTTCAGAGCTCTAAACACATCAGAATGAAGTACTAGTTCAAGTTGTAACCCCTCTCCCGATACAGCTCTCTGCTAGTGCTCTTGAGAAGGCAGGAAAAAACAATCCAAGCGTAGAGACCCCAGTGGAGTTCCCAATGACTTCTGGCTTTGGCCTGACCAGCCTTGGCTGTTACAGCTATTTGGGAAATAAGCTAGCAGACAGAAGAGCCCTGTCTGCTTCTCTTGTCACTCTGTCTTTCAAATACATAAAATACATCTAAAAGAACAAGAAAAAAGAAGTAAGTAAAATGTTAAATGTTAATAGAATAGCACTTTATAAATCCAGAAAGACTGCGTCTAGAGTAGGGATAAGCAAAGACCAACACGCCTTTCATTTTAAACTTACCAGAAGTCCAACACCTCAAAAGTGGTCGTCACAGGAAAACAGTCTACATGGCTTTTTGCTAAACTATAGAAACTCGGCCACAATGTACGAACATCAAAGATGACAACTAAACCTGAAACAGAAGGAAAAAAAGTCATTCTGATGATTTTAACTAAACAGAATCCTATATATCTTTCTCACTGTTCCCCCACCCAACAGTGAGAGGGCTCCAATCCAAGAAGCCCGAAAATTTACCTTAAAGAGACAAACCTGCAGCAGAAACATCAGGACACCTTGTGGAATTTCACTTTAATAGCTACCAACAGAATTACGCTCAACCCTCTAGCCACCAAACTTAGGGAACAATGACAAGCAAGGTGTAAATGCAGAAGCAGCCAACGCACTACTTAATACGACTACACCACAGGAGGGGACAGGTAACAGGATCAAGGGACGAGCAGGGAGAGGATGCAGGTGGAGGGCAGCTGGGGAGCTGACAGAGGGCTGGGCCTGCTCCAGTGTCTGTCTGTTCTCAAGAACAGCAAAGGATACACCGGCCATGCACAAACCACAATACACTTCTGATAAGCCCCCAGCACATTCACCTAAAACTTCCCCTGGTAGAGTTCTCCAGGTTCCCCTAGACCTCTGAGCAAGACACCCCCATCTTGACGCCCAGCCACCAGGCATACACTAGCATTCTGCAGACAGGTGTTTCTAGAAGTGGAAAAAATTTCCAGCCCCTTGCCATCTTTCTTGGGTCCTGGACAGTGTTAGCTCAATGCAGCCTGACTCTCCAAGAGCCATGGGTTCTCTACGAACAAGGGCTATGCATTACTTCACTCACTGCCATACCATGTGCTTGGATCCATCAGCCCTAACCCTGTGAACACTGTACACTCAAGCTTTGCAGTTACATTTTAAAATTAGAGGCCGAGCTAGCATCTAGTCTCTGAGTCACAGAATTTGGAGGCAGCAAGAGATTTCAAGGATTACCTACTTTCAGCCAAGACCCAATCACTGTGGTCATTTGGGGGAGCCAATCAGCATGAGGAAGATTTTTCTCTCTGTAACCCTGCCTTTCAAAATAAATCTTAAAAACAAAGACAAACAGGGCCCGGCGGTGTGGACTAGCAGCTAAAGTCCTTGCTTTGAGCGTGCCAGGAGCCCATATGGGCGCCGGTTCTAATCCCGGCAGCTCTACTTCAAATCCAGCTTCCTGCTTGTGGCCTGGGAAAGCAGTCAAGGATAGCCCAAAGCTTTGGGACCGTGCACCCGTGTGGGAGACCCGGAAGAGGTTCCGGGATCCTGGTTTCGGACTGGCATAGCATCGGCCATTGCGCTCACTTGGGGAGTGAATCATTGGACGGAAGATCTTCCTCTCTGTCTCTCTGTCTGACTTTTCAATAAATAAATAAATAAATCTTAAAAAAAAACCCTTCAATTTGTAGTGCAGAAAGCTTAAGCTTGATGTTGAATATCTTGCCTAAGATTAGGCAAATGACCATCATGTGGAAAAAACTACGGACAGAGTTCTATTTGAAAGAATAAAATTGTACTCTCTATTCAATTCCTTTCTAGTACATCAGGATCAAACAGAGCAGAATTCAGCAAGACCTTGAAAAGCCAGCATAACAGGCCAAAACTCACGAGAAGGAGGTTCATCAGACATTCAGAATCCAGTTAAGATTCCACTTGTGGGAGTAACGTGGACATCTCCGGAGTCCCTCGTGTTCCATTTCCAATCCGGCATCACCTGGGAAAGTGGTGAACACGGCCCAAGCACGAGGATCCCCAACACCCAAGTGGGAGACTCCGATGGGGTGCAAACACCTGGCGCAGCCAATTTGGAAAAGAACCAGCAGATGCAAGATTTCTGTCTCTCCATCTGTCATTCTCCTTTCAAATAAATAAATCTTAGAAAGAGGTTTCATTTGGAATGCCCACATTCCACTTCACTGTGCCTGGGTCCATGTCACCAATGGATATGGCTGAACTCCACTTGTGCTCCAGCTTCCCCGATGCCCATCCTGGGAGGCTTGAACATCTGGGTCGCTGCCACCACCAGGAAACCCCAACTCCCAGTTCCTACTGCAGCCCAGCCCCCTCTGCCTGCTGCGGGCATTAGGGTAATGAACAAATGAATGAGACCTTTTAGTTGCTCCACTTTTCATTTTTACAACTTTTACAAAGTACATGTGGAATAATGTCAGTATCTTGAGTTGCTTCAAATTTTTCATTATGGTTGTTTCTTAATTTCTATCTTTTTATAGTTTTTAGCAAGTTCAGTATAGTTTGTAAGTACAGTTCCGTGAATCTAATGATTTTCCCTTTCTCCCACTTCACCTTTCAAATAAATGAAAATGTATTAAACAAATATAACAAAGGTGGCAGGCAATCTTTAAAAACATTTAACTGCAAAGGGGGAAGAATTACAGAGATTAACTACACTCCACTCCAAGTGACAAGCAGAAACCAGACAGACAGACTACCCTATCACGAACTAGCCTGGCTGCCCGTCAGCCCACAGCCAGTAGCAGTGGACACAGAAACCCCTAAGAGACAGAGTTGGGTTCCAGCTGAGATCTCGGTTCTAGCCTGAGCTGCCCCACACTTGGCTCCTGGTCCCTGAAGCTGGCAGGTTGCAATGAGTGCATCTTCTGCCCTAATCCGATCCCCACCTTGCCCAGGGTGATAAAGCTGTCCCCTTCTGCTCTATGCCCCATGAGGACCTGGGGTGCAGCCTGTCCATCACACAGCACTCTCCATGCAAGCTACTCTGGTGCCAGCCTGTCAATTCCCATCTGATATCTTTCTTTTTTAAAAAATATTTATTTATTTTTATTGTAAAAGTAGATTTACAGAGAGAAGGATCTTGCATTCACTGGTTCACTCCTAAAGTGGCTGCAATGGCCGGAGCAGAGTCGATCTGAAGCCAGGAGCCAGGAGTCCCCTCTGGGTCTCCAGTGTGGTGCAGAGTCCCAAGGCTTTGGGCCATCCTCTGCTGCCCTCCCAGGCCACAAGCAGGGAGCTGGAGGTGAAGTGGAGCAGCTGGCCACAAGCAGGGAGCTGGAGGTGAAGTGGAACAGCTGGGATGCAAACAGGCGCCCATATGGAATCCCGGCGTTTGCAAGGTGAGGACTTTAGCCCCTAAGTTACCGCGCTGGGGCCCCCGAGTTCATCTTATAAAGGGTATTTTCACATTCAAGTTTTTCAATCAAAATTCAACATGTACCACAGAGAGTTCTGTCTAAACACATACTAGCACTATGCTTCACCCCAGCTTCTAAGAAACACTTGTTTCCCAAGCTGTTCTGCCTGAAGGCAATTTTACAGAAAAGAATGAAATCCCGGAGTCTCGTCCTCACGCTGCCTTCGTCTCCCAGTGTCCAAACCTGGAGGCGGCCACGAGCCGCGGGCTCCCTGGACGACACAAGGCCAGCTGCCCACGCTCTCGGCCGCCCCCGACCCCGGAGCCCCCTGACCCCGGAGCCCCAGACCCCACCTCGGCCGCCCCCGACCCCGGAGCCCCAGGAGCCCCAGACCCCGGAGCCCCAGACCCCACCTCGGCCGCCCCCCGACCCCAGAGCAACAGGAGCCCCGACCCCGGAGCCCGCCCTGCCGGCCACAGGCACTACCTCGTCCGCCGGGGTCGCGCTGTCCGGCCGCCGCTCCTCCTGTCGGGCCGGGTCCCACGCGGCCACAGGGGGTGGGCCACGGCCCAGGCGTCCCGCACGATGGCGCCTCCCGCCGCCCGGGCCGTCCGCCCTCACGGTCCCGCGGCGTCCGGGGGCAAAGCCGGCGAGCCCGGTTCGCCCGGTTCGGGGCCTGCGGGCGCGGCTCCCAATGGCGCCGGACGCGGGGCGGGGCGTGCGCGTGCCCGCGGCGTGCGCGAGCTCGCGGGCGGCGCAGCCAATCGGGTCGCCGGCCACGAGGCGGGCCCCCGGAAGTGCCTGCCGCGCCGGCGCGGATAGGGCGCGAGCCTGGACAGGCTCGGTCTGCGTCCAGTTCCTTTGTCTCTTGCAAACCTTCGACAGCATGCCTGCTGTCCTTACTGCTGCTTTAAAAACAGTTCTGTGTGTATGCTTTTTTTAAAAAATGTTAAAATGCATCTTCCAACCGCTGGTTCACACTAGCTAGGCCTGCACCAAGCAGCCAAGGCCTGGAACGCCAACTAGGCCATCGGGGCCCTTGCATGTTCACCGCCCTCCGGTGAGCGATAGCTGGGACCTAACACCAGCATGGGCCACGGCCATCCCAAGGGAAGGGTTACGGTTGACTCCTGTGATTCTCCACATTTTTAGTGAAGGTTTCCTTCCCGTGTCCTTTTATACAGGTACATACGTAGGTATGGTTTGTCTCTGTTGTCTTTGTGGTTAACTTTGGGAATTACATTTAACACCCTAAAGCTGTAATACTCTCTCTTGCATTTGTAACAGCTTAGCTTTACCATACAAGCGGACGTAGGAACTGGCTTGAGTCTCAGCGATCCACTTCTGATCCAGCTCCCCGCTATCGGCCTGGGCAGAGTGGCAGAAGAGTGCCTCTGTGCTGTGCCCGGAAGAAGCTCCTGGCTCTGGCCTGGCTCACCCTGGTCATGGCAGCGATCAGGGGTGTGAACAACAGATGGAACAGCTCTTTTTCTGTCTTTCCCTGTAGCTCTTTCAAATAAATAAATTTCAAATAATTTACACGAACACTCTATTCATGTAAGTTTCATTGTACCCTTTCTGATTTCCTAAAATGACATGTATTGAATGCCCTAAAGTATAAACTATCAATTCTTTGAAAAAAGGGTGTTAGCCTCCTAAGTTACGCACAAAACACAAAATTACAAAGTTGAAATAATACCAGATTTCAAACTATATTTTTAAAGCTTTGTTTATTTGAAAGAGAGAATCATTCGCGCCATCTTCTGCTGTTTGTCCAGGCAGATCAGCAGGCAGCTAATTGGAAGTGACGCAGCTGGGACTCAAGTCTGCACCCATATGGCAACTTCACCTGCTATGCCACAGAAATGCCCCCAAGATAACAATTACTGGGTTTTAAATTTATTTGAAAGGAAGAGTTAGAGACCGAGAGGGAAACCTTCCATCTGCTGCCTCATTCCCTAGATGGCCAGAGGCCAAAAGCCAGGAGTTTCTTCCAGGTCTCCTACGTGGACACAGATGCCCAAGCACTTGCCTGCACTGCTTTTCCCTGGCCATTAGCATAGAATTGGATGGGAAGTGGAGCAGCTGGGAGTCAAACCAGTGCCCAAACGGGATGGCCTCATCAAGGGTGGCCACTATACCAAATTCTTACATACTATAGAAATAAGATGTAGATCCATTAACCAGTTACAAAAATCCCATTTTTATAACTGCCTGTTCCAGTGTCCCTTCATTCCTCCATGCAGGCTGCCTTGAGCATTCCCAAGGAGAATGAACTCCTCAGCTCCTGTTTGCTGGGGGAATGTTCCCTCACTTGTGAGGAAAGCTGAATACTGAACACTTAATGTTATTTTCCATTCTAGTACTTATTGTTTGTTTTCCAGGTTTTTCTATCTCTTTTTACACAGAGAGAGGAAGAGAGAGAGAGAGAGAGAGGAGAAAGTGGAGTGTCTTCCATTAGCTGGCTTACTTCCCAACAGGGTACAAGGACCATGGCTGGGCTGAAGCCAGGAATCTGGAGCTTCTTCTGGTCTCTGACATGGACGTGGGATCTAAGCGCTTAGATCATCTTCAGCTGCTTTCCCAAGTGCATTACAAGGGAGATGGATTAGAAGTGGAGCAGTTGGAACTCAAACCAGTGCCCAGGCCAGCTTCATCACTGGTTATGCTACCTTAGGTTCCTTAAAATCTGTGCTGTCTACTGTTGGACACTGCGATGTGGTCAATTTAGAATTAAATTCTTCCCCCTCCTCCAGGCAGGACTGTTGTTTCTCGATTGGCACCAGCTATTTCTGCACCAGGGAGAATCCTGAAGTACAAACCCATGCTTCCCCCTGTGCCTGCACTCTTGCTTTCTAATCGTTGTCATATTTCCCACGTTCAGAACATCCCAGTCTCCAATCTCTGGCCCTCAAGAGAGGAGAGAAATGAGGCACCATCTCTCTCTCTCTCTTTAATATTTATCTTTATTGGAAAGTCAGATATACAGAGAGGAGGATCTTCCGTCCACTGATTCACTCCCCAAGTGGCCGCCAACAACCGGAGCTGAGCTGATCCGAAGCCAGAAATCACTTCTGGATCTCCCACACAGGCACATGTTCCCAAGGATTTGGGCCATCCTCAACTGCTTTCCCAGTCCACAAGCAGAGAGCTGGATGGGAAGCAGAGCCTCCAGGATTAGAACCAGCGCCCATATGGGATCCTGGCATGTTAGGACTTTAGCTGCTAGACCACTGCACCAGGCCTGAGGCACCATCTCTTTAGGTCACTTCAGCTAGCCAGAGAGGACATACAGAGCCTCAGGATTCAATGTAGTCAGCACACAGCCCTGAGAGGCTGGGAAGGCAGTGCCCTGGCTACCTACCCTGGCTGTTCCAGGGACACAGAGGCTTAGGGCAGGACACTTATTGTTACTCAGCTAAGAGTAGAAATGCACCGTCCATGCCTCCTCTGAAAGCTGTGAGTCTTACAGAGTCCAGCCCCAAAACCACAGGTGCTAGGTGCTTCTGCTTGCTGGCACCATTTCTCTCTGGTTGGCTGCTTTCCAGTGAGGGCCCTGTGCCTCCTGCACCGCTGCTCGAGGGGACAGCACAGGTCTGACCTCTGTGCCCCAAGATATGAGATCCTCTGTAGCACTCCTGCCCCAGGCATCCCAGAAGGCTCACGGCTGGCAGGACATCACTTGTCTGGCCCTGGAGCAGGCGCTTCCAGCCCACTTCCTCCCTTTCATGCCAAGTTCAGGGTCTGGAAAAATGTTGATTTCTGAGACACAGATATTAACTGGGAAGTATTTTAGGGTGTTTTCTCACCTGTTTTTGCAATGGATGTTGATTCTTTAAATATAATAGTTTTCTTTTTAAAAATTATTCATCTAATTACCTCTGAAAGTACAAACACAAACATTTTTGTAAGTTCTGTGAATGTGGAAAATAAATGTGGAACTGGGAAGGCCTTTTGTTTTGTAAGGAAGTTTCCATATTGTGACCTTTAATAAGGAACAAAGTTCACTTTGGCTGACCATTAGAAGACCTCAAAAAGCTTGTGTTAGTTGGAACTTATAAAAACACACACTGTATCTGAGCTGCTTCTAAGTGATGGTGCTGCTGTCTGGCCCAGCCCAAAACAGCCGAGGGTCCCGGGGATGGCATTTTTACATGAACGGAAGCAGCAGTGCCATGTCAAAATGGAAGCATAAAGTCAGAAGGAAGCCAGCCTTGGTATTATAGTTTTTAACAATAAAAAGGAATGCTGAGACCAAAACATCAGCATTTTCTAACGAACTGCAGGCACCAGGCAATAAGAGCCAAGATATCTCCGACATGAGGGGCATCAGTCCTAGAATTTTCAGATCAGACAACGTGCCATGAGGCAGGACCTTTGGTCCATGCTCTGCCTTATACACAATGTTTTACTGGCCCACAGCCATTCACCTACATACTACAGAAATGGCAGAGCCCAGTAGCTATGCTAGACACATGGCCTGCAAGGCCTGCTACATGCCAGCACCCAGCCCTTCTTGGCCAGCGCCCTGTTCTCTCCCCGCAGGTTCTCATACCCTAGAAGCACAGACAAGAGCCCACTGTGCAGGACACAGACCCCATGTCCAGCAGTCATAGGTCTTCAGTTGACAGAGGGATTCTCAGTGTTTTGATGCAGAAATGTTTCATAATTAATCATTAATAAGAAATGGGTACAATCAGCAAGTGATGCAGATGATTGAAGCCACATTTTAAAAAGCAGTATTTTATATAAAATTCCATATAGAAAATTCCATAACCTCAGGACTTAAAATCCATAGCCCTGAACATTTTAATAAACAGCTCAAAGAACAGAGTAAAAAACATAAACATTTTTAAAAAATGAAAAAACACTGTACAATACCAATTTTACAAAGTTTCATTAATCTATGAAAGTGTAAGTGCTGAAGACCCAGAAAACAGGCTGCAGGAGCTAACCCAGGCTATCCCTCCCTAACACAACATTTCTACTTCTGCACAGACCTAAGGACCCTGATGCTTACAGTCAGGTGCATGCCTGGGACAAGGCTGGGAAGCCATCTTATCAGGCCACATCAGATACAACAGACAGATTACAAAGGAACAAGAGCTGCTCCTTCTTCAGCACTATAGCTGACATGGCTGACTAGAAGCACCAGGCACGTATTTTGACAGCACACATGTTTTAACAATTCATGAGACTTAAAGTGGACACTATATTCTTATAACCCAAAGTGCTTCAGAATTAATACCACCACGGTACTTATTTTCTTTCCTCTTTTATTATTATCTTTTCTACTTTCCAGTAAGTTATGTCCTGTTCTGGCTTAGTAGTACATATTAGTTCATACTAGAAGTATTAAAAATCTTTAAATATATGTCCAATTTTTAAACGTGCACTCCTTTAGGAATGGCTTCCAGATGTTTCCATGCCCCCTCTTTGTCTGCAGCATGCAACTTCCTTCCTAAAGTCAGGTTACCCAGGATGCTCTTCTCCTCCAAGGAGGCTGAGGCCATCACAAACAAGTATCATGAAGCACACAAGGCTCACTCTGCCTCTTCATTCTTCTTGGGAGCAGCCCCTGCTGAGTCTTCTGCCTCCCCACTCCTCCCACCACAGCCCTCCTTGGAGGGTCTTCGGCCACACTCATGGACTCGCAGGCGAGTTCCTGGCTGATGCAGCTGCACAGCTGGCTGGTCCTGCTATGGCAGAAGGACAAGGTCACTCCCAAGGGCCAACACCACACAGGGCCAACTCCATTTTCAGGCCCTAAAGCCAGACAGGATGCCAAGAAAGAAGGGGGAAACAACTATGAAGAGTAAGACAATATTGAAACTGACTTGGAAGTGGAAGTAGGCATTTATATCTGGAAGAAAGTTGTTCAAAATCAAAATGCTCTGCAGGGAAACAGCAGTTGGGACATCGGCCTGTGAGATGCAAACAAGCAAGTTTGCACCTCTGTTCCTCAGGGCACACACAGGACTAAAGTGACACAAGGGCTAGCCACCAGACAGTGAACTACAACTGTCAATGAGAAGCTACTGACACGGTAACAAGCCATTTCCACATGCATCACAGTCAGCTTCCCTACCCACACAGATTCAACTACCACCAATCCCATGTTATCTTAATAACATAAAAGAAACCCTCATGAACTGTCATTACTGAAACCCTCATGAACTTTTCCTTACTTGAAGGTAAACTGTATTATTTATGTACTTGAAATAGGGAGAAAGAGGGAGGTAGGGAGGGAAAGAAAGAGAGAGAAAGAAAGAAAGAAAACGAACTGCTATCTGAAGGTTTGTTCCCCAAATGCCCACAACAGCCAGGGCTGGGCCAACCCAAGCCAGGAGCATGAATTTACTGCACGTGCATGGCAGAACTCGCATCCTGAGCCATCACCTGCTGCCTCCCAGGGTGTGTATTAGCAGCAAGTTCAAGACAGGAATCGAGCTGGGATTCACACCCAGGCACTCCAGTGTGGAACGGCTTCACACCCGTACTCTTCCTAACCCTAACCCTCAAACAAATGTCACAAATGTGCCAGTTTCACAGCAGACACAACTCTATTTTTTCTCAGTGAAAAGTGACTGGATTCTCTGAGAACAGAAGATGGCTGATTGCTTTCCTGTTCTAACTTTCAGGGCATGCTGTGCATCGGGTGAACCGTAACAGCTGCTCTAGTACTGCTACCCCAGGCTGTGAATGCTGCAACACACCCAGCCACATTTTTTCCTTTCTGGCTCAATGAGACTTTGCTTGGAAAGAGCAGCTGTGACTGTGACATACCACATGTCCTCACAGCACAGAGCTGGGCGAAGACCCCAGATGAATGAGGAACCATATTCCTGGCCTCTTATAACCTCCACAGGAACAGTCCAGTCTAGGCTCTCTTCTCAGTTCATCTCTGTTCCTTCTGGAAGGCTGCCCACACTCACAGTGAGCCCTGCGATTCTTGCTATCACCTGTGGGCCATCTTTGTATTTCAACTTATTTTTCTCAAGACCTCTTTTCCCTGGTCAGGCTGTGACTTGCAACTCAACACAAAGGGTCAATAGCCATGATACCTTGTCTATATTATGCTGCTACTAACATCAACAGATGGAACCACAGCATCCGTCCTTGTATCTGAGTAAGACACACTGCAAGCATATTATAGCACCTCACCTTTTCCAATGTTCATTAACCCTCCAAAGTAAGCACAGCCCTCCTGTTCCCTATAGAGTCAACAAGACCTGAGTGGCTTTGCGGGGAGCCAGGAGCACTCACCCTGATGCAGCCTTGGAATTGGCAGGTGATATCAGTCACGAAGAACTTACACTATGCGCCCTAACCAATAGTAAATGGACACATGCTCATTCTTGTGATTCTGGGAAACTGGTCATCTGCCTCCAGCCTTATCACTCGCCCTCTCAGCTGAAATCTACTCTCACCAACTGCAGAACAGCCTTGGGGACCAGGTGTCTAAATGTCACAACTGACAAGAGTCCTGGGTCAGGGGACATTAGTCACACATGGCCTCAAGGCCAGGGATGAGTCAGGAGCACATTTCTGGTCCATTGGTATGCTATGTCCTTGGGGGCGATGTAATGATGTAACAGGCCAATCCCCCACCTGTGGTACCAGCACCCCATATGGGTGCCATCTCAAGTCCTGGCTGTTCCATTTCTGATCCAGCTTCCTGCTAATGCGCCTGGGAAAGCAGAGGAGGGTGGCTCAAATACTTGGGCCCCTAGCTTTAGACTGGCTCAGCTTTAACTGTTTCAGCCATTTGGGGAATGAACCAGAGGATGGAAGACCTAACTCTGCCTTCAAAGTAAATAAATCTTACCCCCCTCAAAGGACTATGTCCAGAGAAGCTCCCTCCAGAGCTGCACAAAAAGCATTCTTGTCCCAGCACCAGCACTCCTGCCACTCACTGCATGTGGACACCCTAGGAGGCAGACAGAGGCAAGACCTTCAGAAGGCAGGAACAAACCCACAGCTGCCAAGGAAGACAACTGACATAACCCTTCGGATCTACTTCTAGACAAACAGCCTGTGTCTGTAGGGATCATGAGGCACGCACCTCATGGCAAACTGACAAAACTCATGAGAACCGAAGACCTAAAACACAGGGTCCCCATTCCAGGAGCAGAGAGCAGGGAAAACAGAAGAGTGTCCAAGACACAGCCATGAGCTACAGCAGACTGCAGCTGGGCACCCGGGGTTCTCCCTGGGCACCCGGGGTTCCTTGCACAACAAGTGTGTTCTTGTCCTAGAACACTGCGCATGTGGATGGACACAGGCGCACACACGACAGGAGCTGAGGGGCAGTAACAAGGAAAGCTTGCTCACTTCTCCCTGAGCTCCTCCAGTGAGCTCTCCAAGGGCCGCGCCTTCACGACCTCTGGCTTTCCATCTCCAACACCAGTTTCCTCGCCTCTTTCTTTTGGTTTCTCTGTGGGTGGTTCCTCTCCCTTTTCTGGTTTCTTAAGAAGCTGAGAAATTATGATATTAGTGAAATATCAACCTCAAGAGCACAGTATTAAAGTAGTTGCTAAGTAAAAACATATGCTATTATTAAGCCCAAATGTTTGAATAACAGAAGAAAGCTGAAAGTCAAAAAACCCTGGGTTGGTTTAATACATAGTGGCATCTTCAGTCACTGAAACACCCACAGCCATGAAACATGGTGCGGCATAGCTGACTCGTTGAATTACAGAACCACACAGCAGAGGTTCCCAACTTTCCAATCCCGATGTAGAAGTTAATGCACCACAGTCAGCCGCCACTCAAAATTCTGGATGTGTGTCCTTCAGCAGTCATATTGTGTAAACACCACAAACAGTGCTTGCACAGACAGAGCTGGAGGGCAATCTCCCAGGTCACCGCTGCACACACCTATTGCCCATGGGGCATCAGGGTCCAAAGTGGCTATGACTGGTCTGCGCACATGGAGGGAATTGTCTGAAACATTCATACACACAGTGGACACAGGGACCACGTCCACTTTCTGCCTATCTCCTTTCTGTTGCTGACAGGTTCTACTTTGCCTAACAAGTAAATTTTTTAATAATAAAGGGAGAAAATAACTTTTTTTCCAAAGGTTGCTTTAGGCAGATGGCTTTAGAATAGTTTACAGTTTTGGAAAACTTAAGAGCCCTCTTCTAGTAGCAGATGTCTCAGGCTGCTGGGACACATCAAATTGACCATTTCTGCATTGGGGTCTGGGCAGGTAGACTCCTTTGTACAACTGAGAACTGACAGATGCACTTCTGAGATTTCATAACATTAAACATTATAGATTTCAGTGTAGCAAAACTACACACAGATACATATGGGTAAATTTCATTTGCAAACAAAACCGACCTAAATTAAGGAAAATAATGGAAGTGAATGACCATGTCAGCTAGTGAGTGCCCACTGAGCCTGCATGGCATCCTTAAACGGGAACTTCCTCTCAGTAAATGGGCACTGCTTTCTGAGACATGCCTCATCCACCAGACGACCCCACACCTACAAGCTGCTTCATGCTGCCTGCAGCCAGCTGAGGCCGTGCAAGTCACACTCTGATGCAGGCAAGAAGAGGGTCTAGAAGGCCCCAGAGAAACAAGATGGAAACAGGCCAGTTTAGAGGGCAGCACAGGCTATCCCGGTAGATGGCACAGAAGCATGAGGAAAACAACAGGAGCACTCAAAACACATGAATCAAGAGGACTGCAGACAAGCCAGGACCATGTTCAGAACGTGGTGCGGGCACGCGTCTGGGGCCTACCGGAGACAACAGACTGACAGTCATTCATCAGCATACAACCTGGTCACACACACCCCACCTGTGCTTACGCTCGTGTGTGTGTCAGCCCCCCACACCTTCATCTATGTCTACACTACACACAGGTGGCCTGGCCATATAAACCCCCACCTGTGCTTACACTTGTGTATGCACATTAGTCACATACACACACACCTTCATCTATGTGTTTACATACATGTGACCTGGTCACACACACAAGCATATGCACACATATTCGTTTCCACTTGTTTTTCACACACTGCATATGAGCAGACCAAGTACAGACACACACACTTTTTTAAAAAGCTCTGGAAAAAAGATCACATCATTTCCTCAATAATGTCAACTGCAGCTCACAGCTTGTGTGTTGAAGAATTTTGCTTGACTTAAGCTTGCAGTCCAGTTATGGAGGTCTCAGGGCAAGCCAACATTGGGCTGCTCCCACAGAGGACTCACCAGGAGGACACGCTCTACCTTGTTGTCTTCCATCTGTCAGCATATTTCTCCACATATTTTTTAGGTTTTTAATCATTTAAACTCTCAGGATGACTTGTAGTCAGAGATCCACAAATGGAACACAGTTGTTTATCAAAGCAAAGCTTGGGGCCAGACAACCCGAAGCCCATGCCATGTTTGGCGGTCAGGTAGAACCATGGCTGCTCACGCTCGCTGCCTGGCCACCCCAGGCTTACTTGCCTAAAGCAGGATGGAATCAGCTCTTTCTCCTGCTATGCTTACTCTGATTTTTTTTTTTTTAATACAGGAGCCCTGAACTTCACTGACATTTGTTTTTTTCACTGCTTTTGTTCATCTTCATTTCATAGCAATAAATATGAACACAAAATGCTATATGCTAAAAGTTATAATTAAAATTATGGTTGGCATGGGCAACAGGCAAAGGATGCGCCACTAACAGTGACTTTGAGAAGGTAAAGCTCACCCCCTGGGTGGCTGCTGGGCTTGTCTGGAAAGGACATGAGATCAGATGAGAAACACAAATAGGTCACTCCTACTGCCTGCACAGCAGCTGAGGCCTGGACTCACTGGTCACCTTTCGAGGGCTGTTGCCTCTTGGGCCTCCAGGACTTGTCCTTGCTAACATAATCATCTGTATTTCACCGTGCTGACTGGGATCCTCAATTTCAAAACGACACAGACCCTTACTCAATTCTTATCAAAGCCAGCTTAAATTGCTACGGATGTTTGGACAAAGATGGTTTACCTAGTCATCCTGCACACCTTGTATCTCTGCAGCAAACCAGCTTAAGCTCAGACCCTCCTGAGTTTGGAGATACTTTAGGGTACCATGTTGCCCACAGTGCTGTTCATAGCTACTCCAGGCTGGCCTGCACAGTGAGATGTGAGCAGTAGGGATATGGGGCGCTTTCCAAGTCGCACAAAGACTGACAGCAGATCCTAAGATGGAACCCCCATCAGCTGGGGTCACCAGACGATCACCAAGCCATCTACACACACCAACACAGGAAGTGACCTGCAGCTGGGTTAGACCTGGAGCCTCCGACACTGGGTTCCTACAGCACAGCCTGGCCGCATCTGAGGGTGTGCTTCTAGAGGGTTCTGTGAGAACCTGCCCCTGCATCACTAGTGAGTTCCAGCGGGAATTACCTTAGAACAAAACACCAGAAAATCCTTTGCTTCCCCTAAGAAAAAGATTCCTAGAAAACAAAAAGTTTCCTCAAATTACCTTAATCCTTACATCTTTCTCCGTGATTTTCTTTTGCTTATCTGTCTCTTTTTTTTTGCATCTTTCTTCTTCCCTCCTTTTTTTTTTCTCTTCTTCCCGCAAGCGTTTCTTCTCTAACTCCCTTCTTCTTCGTTCTTCTCGCTTCTCCTCTCGAATTCTCTGCAGCCATGGAAAAAGTTCAAGTATGAGCTGTCTGCATGGAAATGACAGACATGAGAAGGAAGGGCACTCACCAGGCCAAAAGCTGACCTACCTGTTTTTCCAACTTTCTGCTTTTAATATATTCCAAAAGAGGTGTGGTTCTTCTAGCTAAAACAGAGCAAGTAGGTGACATTTAACTCTAAAAATACAATTTCAAGTACTTCAATCTGACCTTTAAGTACTTAGGGGAGGTATCATTATTTTTAAAATCTACCCTGGCAGGATTGGGTACAGGCCAGGCTGGACCGAACTACAACACCCACCAGTTCACAAAAGGGATTGGAGTGGGCCAGGCTGGGTTGGGCTACTGCACCCACCAGCAAGAGCTGGAACTGGAGGCAAGACAGGCTGAACCAGGCTGAACAACTGCTGGTGAATGCTCAAACTGTGGGTGGGACCATCCCAGACTGGGCCTCAATACCTGCTGGCATGTGTAAGACCCTGGTCTGGGAGCAGGGCTGAGAAGGGAACTTCAGGAACTCTCTTACTGGGCAGCTGAGTCCACTGGTGAGGATAAGAGCTGGAACTGAGGAGGGGGAAGTCTGGGAATAGGCCAGGCTGGGGTAGGCAGCTCATCCTTTGGCATATATGAGAGCCAGAATGGGTGCAAGCCAGCTGGGCTAGACCACAGCACCAACTGGCAAGTGCCAGGACTGGGTGTGAGTCATGTCTGGCTGGACTACAGCACCCCCTAGCAGGTACAAGACCCAGGTCCAGGAGCAAGCCTGGTAGGGGAACTGTAGCTACTGCCCTGCTTGAAAGCCAGGATTGGGTGCAGGCCAGGCTGTTCAAGGCAAAAACATTTGATGGCATATGTCTGGACCACAACTGGGGATGGGTCAGGCTGAACTAAGCTGTAGCATCCATGAGTGTGCACGAGACCCAGATGTGCTACAAAATGTACTGGGCTAGGCTATAGCCCATTCCAGCATATTTAAAAAACAAGGCTGGGGGGTCACCCTGATTAGGCCACAGTACCTGATGGTGTGGTTTGTGGCAGGCTAGGTTGGCAACAGCACTTGTTGGTTTGCCTGAAATATGTGGCTGCTGTGAAACTAAGCAGGCATCTGCATCCAGTATATACACTGGCTGGTGTAGGTGACAGACCAAACGTGATCCTGCATTAGCTGGGGCACACAAGAGTCAAGTCTGAGGTTACCTCAGACAAGGTTTCTTTGGGGACTCCCCAACTAATCGCTGGACTCAGACCCTGATCACAGGGCAAATCACAGAATGTATGGTCCAACCTTGGAGTGCAGGTATTGAGACTAGGCCTCCTTAGTTTCTGATGTTTGTGAGGTTGACAGCATGTCCAGATCTACACAGGACACACGACCACCAGCTCATCCAGGCCAGCAGAGGATACTGACTGCTTTGACAGAGGTTGGACAATTACCCTGACCAAGCTTTACAGCATATTCCTGGGTATGTGGTGAACTAAGGTGGACTTGGTCAACCAACAGATGTTAGAAGAATTTTCTCAACCCTGGTGCCACAAAACTGACATCTCAGAAGTAACAAAACCACTCAAGTAACACCTTTGGAACATTCTTTGTCACCGCAGGATCTCTAAGGTGTCATCAAATGACTTCCCCATCCTTGGTGCTGATGTAGTTGACAGCAAGAAATGGCCCTCTCCCCTTACCTCCTTGAGGACCCAGGAGGAAAAAGCCACCGAAACATGTGTCCCACCCACCTACCTCCACACCTCGACCCTCCCCACCCTGACTGGAAAGCCACATGGGCATGCATTCCTATCAACTATGTAAATAATATTAAAAATCTACACAAACAAAAAGAAAACCCCCTGCCCTGAAGTCAGATTCTGCACAAGAGAACAGGACAGAACAGGAAGGGCAGGAAGGAGTCTGAAAACTCCTGTCTATATTTTCAGTGAGTCTACAATGAAATCACACTCCCTGCCTTGTAGTGTTGGTGCCAGAGCCCCAAGCTCCAGGAATCCTTTGCACATCTAACCCATCAAGCTGTGTGGTCTACTCCCTTTCTCATCGTTCAGGGCGGAGACCTTGTCTCTTCTCAGGAGTGGGAATATGGGCCACACTGTCATCCATCACACATACATCCTTCTGCCTGTGTGGATGCGGGATTCAGTCCCAGTTCCTGCTGCCTGTGTGGATGCGGGATTCAATCCCCAGTTCCTGCCCTGCCTTCCTCCTCTTCCACCACTTGGCAGAGCTCACAGCAAATTTTCTGCTGAATAACTTCACTATCAAAAGTAAATCAGGGGGCCCGGTGCGGTGGCGCAAGTGGTTAAGGTCCTCGCCTTGCATCCCCGGGATCCCATATGGGCGCCGGTTCTAATCCCGGCAGCCCCGCTTCCCATCCAGCTTCCTGCTTGTGGCCTGGGAAAACAGTCGAGGACAGCCCAAAGCTTTGGGACCCTGCACCCGCATGGGAGACCCAGAAGAGGCTCCTGGCTTCGGATCGGCATAGCATCGGCCGTTGCGGCTCACTTGGGGAGTGAATCATCGGATGGAAGATCTTCCTCTCTGTCTCTCCTCTCTGTATATCCCCCTTTCCAATAAAAATAAATAAATAAATAAATAAATAAAGTAAATCAGGAATTTAAGGCCCTGGCCACCGGGAATGGATGCCCACTCCTGTCACTGCCATAAGAAGGTGTCACAAAGAAGGAGGCCTCATGCGTGACGTCTACCACTCTGTCCCTTGCCCAGGGCTGGGATGCCCAGCACATGAGGACGTCTGCCTAGGCTTCACTTGGCACTCACAATCATGAAAATAGAGCAGAATGCTCACAAACATGCATCCTCAGAAGAGGAGATGGGGTAAAGCAGACCTGTGAGCTCCCTTGCCCTTGCCTCCAGCTCTCCCAGCAGGATTTCTGGGCTGGCACTGGTTTTTTCCTCTTCTACAGAGTAAGTTTCTAAAAACTTCTTGTATTCAGGATCTACAAAGCAAAAAAGAAAAAAACCTAAATCCAAAACCATTCAGCCTGGGACAAGAGCCATCTGTATCAGTTTATTTGACAGGGCTCACCATCTTCAATGCTTCCCGTCTTGGCATCTTTCTTCTTCAGCTTCTTCTTGGCCACCTTCTGGAATGGAGCAAACTCAACCACTGCTGGGTACTCCAGGCCTATAACCAGAAACAGGGCCAGAGCACTCTCAGGCTGTACACCACCACCACCTGGAAGGCACCTTGCTCCTGCCAGGGCTGAGCCCAGGGGCTGCAGCACACAGCAGAGCTCTCCCCTTTGTTTCGCTATGTTCCCAAGCATCTACCAAACTCCACAATTATTCTGTAATCTTCCATAACGCGAAAGATCATAGCCCAGAATGAAACATATTTACCACCTGTTGGCTTCACCACACTGACCACAGGTAACTTATATTAGCTTGTATTACTTAAATTAAAAGATTAATTTATTCTGTTAAACAAGGCCAAAGAAATTACCTTGCTTAAAAGAGACACCCTGGGAGGCTGGGGAGATGGCGCTGGTAGAGGCACCTGGGGGGTTCACACCCAAGCAAACTGAGCCTGGGGACTTCCACACGTCCTTGATTCCAGGTGGGGTATGTGGCAGGGAGAGCCCTAGGCTAGCCTGCTGATGTGGTGTGCTGGTGGACTGGGCTTGGGGAACTGTGAATTGTTGGCTCTTGGACAGAAGGAGGGGTAGGGTTCTGGGCCAGCACCATGCCAAGAGCTTGGGTCCCTAATAGGCAAGCAGAGATCCAGGCAAGCATACCACCCATCAGAAGACTGGGTTTGAGAGGACCAGGCTGGGAATGGGATGATTAGGGGTGTGGGGATGTATGGGAGAGAGGACCACTTCAGGTGAGGAACGACTTCTGGGGGACTTCCACTGACAAGTCCACTGTACTTGCAGGTATGCAAGGGGGATAAGACTGAGCAGTTGGAGGAGAGAAGCTGGAGGACCCTTCTGGGTCAGACCGACACACCCACCCACACTGGAGACCTGAGCTGAGCTAGTTAGGATCAACCACTGCTGACCACCACCCACTGGCACACACTAAAGCTAGGGCTGGGGCCTATCTGGTAGGGTTAGATCACAGCACCGCCAGTGAGTATCAGAACAGGGAACAGGTAGCATTAGGCTGGGTCATGACACTAACTGGCACATGAGAAAATCAGGTCTGGGGGCAGATTCTATTGGAGATACGTAGGCTCACCCCCGTGGAATTGCAATATCTGCTAGTCTGTTCAAGAGCTAGCGTAGCGTTGGGCTAAGCTAGGCATGACCATGGAATCCCAAGACACTCAGGAGTACTGGGGTTGGGAACAGGCTGGGCTGTTCCAGGATGCAGCACCCATAGGTGCATCCAAGAATAGGGTGTGGGGCAGGATGGGACACAACATTCACTAGCACACACAAAGGCAGAGACAGAGGGGGCAGACTATGCTCTACAAGGCCTAGCACCCACTGGCACATGTGAGATCTAGGTCTGGGAGTGGGTGTGGTGAGAGACCTTGGAGAATCCCCCTGGTGGGTTGTAGCTCCTGCTGCTGGGCATATGGTTCCATGTGGATGTTGGTCAGGCCAGGCAAGGTTACTCCACTTGTCAGCAAGTTTGTGGGTTGGTTCTGGCAAGGGCAGACCAGGCAGGACCAGGCCAAGCCACAGCACACTGGCATATGCAGGAGCCATGATGGAGCGTGGGCCACGCCAGGCTAGGTTATCACACCTACCTATTTGCACGAAAGTCAGGGATGGGGGCAGGCTGGGCAAGGTTAGGCTGAGGCACCACCAGTGATTTGGGATTGGGGGTGGGCTGGAACAGGCCAGGCTGTGGCATCTAATGGCAAAGGCCAAGCCATACCAGGCTGCATCAGAGCAACCACTGGCATGCACAAGATCTGTGGCTGGGAGCGAGCCTGATCAGGGAGCTAAGGGGATGCCCTGACTGGGTTAGGGTTGCACTGGGAGTGCAAGAGCTGGAATGGGGGTGGGGGGTGACGATCTGGGCTGGACATGGCTAAAGTATTGCATGGCATGGGTGTGGACTGGGTCTAGGGCATATCAGACAGGGTCAGACTCTAGCACCCACTGGTGCTTATGAGAGTCAGCGTGTGTGCAAGCAAGGCTGAGCTTCGTCTCAACACCTGCTCAACTACATGAGAGCTCGGTCTGAAGGTAGACCATGCAGGGCAGGGCTGCAGCACCCAACAATAAGAGGCAAAATGGGTGTGGGTCAGTTGGGCAAGGCCGATGCACCTGCTAGGAGAGGAGGTGGGCCAAGTCCCCAACAGTGTAGGTGAGATCTACCACTGGGAGGTGATTTGACAGAGAAGCTTGGGAAACTCCTCTGTCAGGATGGAGTCCTTGCAGGTGAGAACAAGAACCAAGGCAGGGAATAGCCCAGATCAGGCCAGGTTACAGTGCCCGCTGACATACCTATGGGTCAGGTCTGGGGGTGTGCCAAGCTGGGCCAATTCATAACACCCACTGGCAGATCTGAGAACCAGGACATGTTGCAGGATAGGCCATGTCGGGCCACAACACCAGCCAGTTCATATTAGGGCAGGGACTAAGGGCAGTCAAGGCTGGGTTATGCTGTAGCACCTGCCAGCATGAGCTGGAAGTGGGGCAGACTGGGTTGAGCCAAGCTATAGCACCCACTAGCAAATGCTTAGGTGAGGTAAACCATGTCAGCCTGGGCCACAGCTCTCATCAACACATGTAAGACCGACAGGTGGGGGCGAGCCTGGTAGAGGGCAGCCAGGATTCCATTGCTGAGCGACTGCTCCCACTAGTAAACCTGAGAACTAAGACTAGGGGCAGACCAGGCTAGGCAGGGCTACAGCACTCATTGGCCTGCATGTGAGCTGGGTTAGGGGGAGAGCCAGGCTGGGCTGACTTTTCACTGGTACATGCATGAGCCAGAGCAAGTGCAGGCTGGTTAGGCCTTGCTGCAGCATCAGCTAGCAAGTGCTAGGAATGAAGGCAAGTCCTGTGAAGCTAGACCACAGAACCATGTAGAAAGTACAAGATCCAGAGCTGGGAGTGGGCCTTGTAGGGAAATTGTGGGCACCTCTCTGATGGGCTGCAGCTAGCATAAGTAAGCAAAAGAACCAGGACTTGGGTGGACTTGGTTGGACAGGCGATAGCACCCACCAGCATAAAAGTATGAGCTGGATAGTGGGGCTGACTGGGCTGAGACTGGACTGGTCTGCTAAACACACCATCAAGAGGAGGAACCAGGGCTGGGGGCAGGTCTGACGGGGGTTACTAGGGGTCACTTTGACTAAGCTCTGGTTCCCACTGGTATATATGAGGGCCAAGTGTGTGATAGGCAGGGTTTGGCTGGGCTGCAGCATCCATTGGTTTACATAACAGATGGGGATAGAGACAGAACTGACCCAGCAACTGCAACCACCAATATGTGTGTAGGCTAATGTAGATAATGACATCAGCTGGATCCCATACTGGCTAACACACACAGGAGTCTGGGGTCACCTCAGATGAGGGTTCTTTTGGGACCCTCTTCCCACCCCCCGCCCACCGAATCACTAGATTCAGAACTCCAACCATGGGGAGAATTGCAGGATCTGTGGTCTGACTGTGCAATGTCAGAACTGGGCCTCCTCAGCTGCTCCTTAGATGATGCAGAGGACGGCAGGCCCAGATGTACAGAGAACATGGCAGTCCACCGGGGCCTAACAGAGGATGGAGGGCAGAACAAATTGGACAACTCTCCCAGCCAACTGTTCACAGCAAATATCTGGACAAAAGGAGACTCTGAGGTGGACTATGTCAGCAAATGCTCCTTGGAAGAATTTTTCAACCTTGGAGCAACAAAATCAACAGTATTTCAGAACTATAAAATTCACTTGGGGGGCCCGGCGCTGTGGCGCAGTGGTTAAGGTCCTCGCCTTGCACGCCCGGGATCCCATGTGGGTGCCAGTTCTAATCCCAGCAGCCCCGCTTCCCATCCAGCTCCCTGCCTGTGGCCTGGGAAAGCAGTCGAGGACGGCCCAAAGCTTTGGGACCCTGCACCCACATGGGAGACCCGGAAGAGGCTCCTGACTTCGGATTGGCTCAGCTCCAGCGTTGTGGCCGCTTGGGGAGTGAATCATCGGATGGAAGAGCTTCCTCGCTGTATATCTGACTTTGCAATAAAAATAAAATAAAACACACACACACACAAAACACACTGGGATGACATTGCATGGCTGTCCCCTATCCTCAGAAACTGACGTAATTAGAATGCTGAGTGCAGCTTCTCCCCTTCTCTCCCCCTTTGCCCAGATACAGGAAGAAAAAGAGAGAGACAGACACTGGGCTGGGAGTGTAGCACAGCATACTGAATCACCACGTGCAGCACCAAGATCACATATGAACACTGGTTTAAGTCCAGGCTGCTCTGCCTGTGTCCAGTTCCCTGCTAACATGCCTGTGAAAGCAGCAGAAGATGGGAGCACCCAAATGGAAGACCTGGAAGAAGCTCCTGACTCCCAGCTTCAGATAAGCTCAGTTCTGGCTGTTGTGGACATTGGGGAGTGAACCAACAGATGGAAGATCTCCCTGTCTTTCCTTTCCTCTGTAACTCTTTAAAATAAAAATAAGCAAATCTTTAAAAGGCATATGTGCGGGCCTGGCGTGATAGCATAGTGGTTAAAGTCCTCGCCTTGCACGTGCCAGGATTCCATACAGTTGCTGGTTCTAGTCCTGGAGACCCTCCTTCCCATCCAGCTCCCTGCTTGTGGCCTGAGAAAGCAGTTGAGGACGGCCCAAGTCCTTGGGACCCTGCACCCGCATGTGAGACCCGGAAGAGCTCCTGGCTCCTGGCTTCGGATTGGCTCGGCTCTAGCCGTTGTAGTCACTTGGGGAGTGAATCATCGGACAGAGGATCCTCCTCTGTGTCTCTCCCCCTCTCTGTATTATCCACCTTTCCAATAAAAATAAATTAATCTTTTTTTTTTTAAAAAGGCATATGTGTAAAAGATGATTATCAAAGGGCATCACGGGCCCGGCGCGGTGGCGCAAGTGGTTAAAAGGTCCTCACCTTGCACGCCCGGGATCCCATATGGGCGCCGGTTCTAATCCCGGCAGCCCCGCTTCCCTTCCAGCTCCCTGCCTGTGGCCTGGGAAAGCAGTTGAGGACGGCCCAAAGCTTTGGGAACCTGCACCCGCGTGGGAGACCCAGAAGAGGCTCCTGGCTTCGGATCGGCATAGTATCGGCCCATTGCGCTCACTTGGGGAGTGAATCATCGGACGGAAGATCTTCCTCTCTGTCTCTCCTCTCTGTATATCCGCCTTTCCAATAAAAAAATAATAAAAATAAATCTTAAAAAAAAAAAAAAAAAGGGCATCACATACCATGCAAGCTCTGCTTCAAGTTAAAGGTTGAGGAAGCTACTAGACCCTAATCCTGTTACTATGTGGCAAGCTGTGGGCCACAGATATTCAAGGAAAGTTCACCAAAGGGAAACTGCTCCTGTTGCATCCTCATAGGAGTATAAGATGGTGGTTTTGTCAACACTTAAACACATGTATTTTTAGTTATTTGAAAGGTAGAGTAATGGGGACAGGAGAAGTAGGGGTGAGGCAGAAAGGGAGAGAGAAAAATGTGACATCTGGTAGGTTCCCCAAATGTCCATCACAGCCAGGCTGAGCCAGGCAGGAGCAAGAAGCCTGGAATGTGCATCTGATCTCCATGTCAGCCCCAAGGAGCAGGTGCATCGGCAGAGCTGGATCAGAATCAGGACTGGAGCCAGCACTCTAATGTAACAGGCAGAGTCAAGTGCATCACAGAGGGCGGGGGGAGTGAACACTCAAGGTGCAAACGGGGCGGGGCACTGGGGGGCGGGGGTGAGCACTCAAGGGACAACCGGGTGGAGGCACTGAGGCACGGTTAGGGGAGGCAGGAGTGGACACTCATGATGTAACCACTGAGGTGGGGCACTGAAACAGGGTTGGGAAGGAGGCGGGGACACTCAAGATGCATCCAGGACATGGGCCCAGGCAGAACTGGGTGGATTTTGCCATCTGTGCAGGGTGACAAGGGGTGAGGGACAGTGGGCTTGGGCACACTACTGACTAGCAACACAGAACGAAACAAGGGTAAGTAAGCTCAAGGTCCAGGAAGCCCTCGTCCTGTCAGCTAAGCTGTCGAGTCTCACAGCATTTCTAGCACTCTTCCGGTTTGAACTGTGTGGAGCAGCACACAAGCATAGTAACATACTCACAACGTATGCTCTTACTTTAAATCAGTCCCACACAAATCCCACCCAACCCGACACACCCTAAGAGACTGTCAGATTGAAAACAGTGACTCAACCTTTGTTGTCAGTGAAGATAAATCCATCAAAACGATCTCTGAAGAGAAGGACATCATCTGGATCCCTAAAGTTGATGTACGCTCTCGAGTAGAGGTGAGGGTGAAGACTGAAACAAGACACAGTGATGAGAAGGCACCATTTCTCACCTCCCCGCTTCCTTCACGCCGAAAACCATCCCCCGGCAAAACACACAAAAACCTCTTCACTGGGGCCCTCTGAACAGCTCTCTGCAATGCCTCGAGGCTGGCGCTGTGGCACCCACATGCAGCCAGGTGTGCCGTCCTGTTCTCTGCTCCACCCAGCTCCCTGCTGGCAGCCTGGGAGGGCAGCGGAGCAGGGCCCAGGTGCTCGGGCTCCTGGATCCCCAGCCCGGCCACTGCAAGAATGAACGCCGAGCAGGAGGCACTCTCTGTCCCTTCCTGTAACTCTGCCTTTCAAAAAAACACCAACCACCAGAACTGGAATGGAGGCAAAGATTAGGGTCCACAAGGCCCCAGCCTTCCGGCACGGCCCCCAGGAGGCGTGGGCCCTTCTCACCTGAGGTCTGCGGGGAAGAGCTCAAAGTAGTCATGCGCGGGCAGCGGCCGCAGCTGCTCCTCCAGCTGCCGCTTGGTGAGGCCGGGCGGGAGCCGCCGGACGACCACCTAGGCCACGTCGGTAGTCAGGCGTGAGGGGAGCGCAGGACCCGGACCCGAACCCGGACCCTATCCCACCTCCACACGGCGCCGACCACGCCCCCGCGGAAGGTCCCCCTGCCCCGCCCCCAGCCCCCGGAGGTCCCGCCCCGTCCCGCGCGGAAGCCCCGCCCAGCCGCGGAGGCCCCGCCCTCACCTTGCTCAGGGCTGTCCGCTTCTCCTCACGAGGTTTGCCGCTCCCGCCACCGGAGGACGGAGCCGGCGGCGTCCCGAGCTCTCGTCGGAACTGGACCTCCATGGTTCTCGTCGCGACGTCCCTTTCGCACTCACACCTGGCGCACCAACCGCCGCCCTCAGGCCTCCGCGCCCATCACGCGCCTGCCGTACTCACGGGCCGTCGCCGCGCGCCCGCACAGAAACCTCGCGAGATGTCGGCCGCTCGGCCTGGGGGCAGGGCGCTCAGTCCTGCGGCTGCGCGGAAATGGAGTCCAGAGTCTCGGTGGACGCGTTGTGTGCGCTGTGCCTGAGGGCTACGTGCTCCGGGAGGGGCTTGGTCCTCCCTGAGGTACTCGGTGCTCCATGAGGAGCTTGGTCCTCCCTGAGGTACTCGGTGCTCCGTGAGGGGCTTGGTCCTGTCTGAAGAGCTCGGTGCTCCGTGCTCAGCAAGGACCATGACGAGGGGCCTGAGGTGAGGGGACAGAGTCAGGGGCTGCAGGACTGAGTGAATACTAAGGTAGGGTGCTTGCCGCAGGATACTCAGTACAGTATTACAGTACGCAGTGTAGAATACTACAGTAAAAATACTTAGTATGACCACACAGAAATGCTGCTACTTGGTGTTCACAGCCAGGAATGGCTGCAGAAGAGCTGGCGGGGGCACAGAACCCCCGCAACACACAGAACTTGACTCCTGGTCTCAGACCCAAAGAAGATGAAACCAGCGGCTCCATGCCCACCAGTGTCAGCCTACTTGGATGAAAATGGGGAAGGAGGGAGGGGGGAGCCTCTGAGTTTCAGCCTTAAAAAGAACTGCCTTCTGACAAATGCTACATGGACACAACGCAAAGTGGCAGAATGGGTGAAGTCAAGGCCTGGGACACTCCCTCCTTATTAGAGTGCGAAGAGCCCACCTCCGCCTCAGAGCCAGCTTCTTGCCATGCACACCCTGGGAAGCGGCTGGTGGCGGCTCCAGGCTCACTCCAGCCACCCAAGTGAGAGACATGGTTTGATCGCCCAGCTCCAACTGTTGCAGTTATTTAGGGAGTGAATCAACAGATGGAAGTTTCCACTGATGTCACTTTCCCAAATAACAAAAAATAGGGCATGGACATTTGGCACAGCAGTTAGGACGCCAAATGGGGAAACCACATCCCACATTGAGTGACTGCAATTCCAGCTACTCTGCTCCCAACCCAGCTTCCTGTCAACTTGCACCCTGGAGGCATCATGGGTGGCTCAGGTAGTTGGGCCCACATGGGAGACCTGGGCCGAAGTAGCAGCTCCTAGCTTTGACATGGCTCTGTCCCAGCTATTGTAGGCATTTGGAAATGAACCAGATGGACGAATCAGTCTGCCTTTGAGGTAAATTTTAAAAAGATTTGTTGAGCCCTAAAGTGCATTTTTTTAAAGACTTATTTAATTGCAAAGTCAGATAAACAGGAGGAGAGAGAGATTAGATCTTCTGTCCACTGATTCACTCCCCAAGTGTCTGCTACAGCCAGAGCTGAGCTGATCCAAAGCCAGGAGCCCGGAACCCCTTCCAGCTCTCCCATGTGGGTGAAGGTCCCAAGGCTGCGCCATCCTCGACTGCTGTCCCAGGCCACAAGCAGGGAGCTGGATGGGAAGCAGGGCCGCCAGGACTCAATCAGCACCCATATGAGATCCTGGCACATGCAAGGCGAGGACTTTAGCTGCTGAGCTACCACACCGGGCCCTAAAATACATTTTCTTAAGATTTCTTATTTTTTTTTTTATTGGAAAGTTAGATATGCAGAGGAGAGACAGAAAGATCTTCCATCCAATGATTCACTCCCCAAGCAACCACAATGGCTGGAGCTGCACCAATCTGAAGCCAGGAGCTGCTTCTGAAACTCCCCTGTGGGTACAGGGTCCCAAGGTTTTGGGCTGTCTTTGACTGCTTTCCCGGGCCACAGGCAGGGAGCTGGATGGGAAGCAGGGCTGCCGGGATTAGAACCGACGCCACATGTGATTTTGACATGTGCAAGGCAAGGTCTTTAGCTGCTGGGCTATTGCGCTGGGCCCCCTAAAATACATTTTTAAAATATTTATTGTTAATTTGAAAGGCAGAGTTAGAAAGGAGACAGGAATCTTCCATCCACTGATTCATTCACCAAACAGCCCTGATGGCCAGGGCTGGGCCAGGCTGAAGCTTTGTCCAGGTCTCCCACATGGGCGCAGGGGTCCAAGCACCTGGGCTATCTTCCACTGCTTTTCCAGGACATTAGCAGAGAGCTGGACTGGAGGCAGAGCAGCAGGTACTTGAGCTGGCGTTCTTATGAGGTGCTGGCATCACAGGTAGTGGGTGGTTTTACCCACTATGCCACAATGCTGGTGCCAAAATACTCCAAAAAATAAGCTGGCCACAAAAGAAATCCACTTTTAGGAAATCCTATAGAGGCAGGTGTGACAAAGTGGATTAAACTGCTACTTGTGACGCCTGCATCCTGTATCTGAGTGAGTTTCCTGGGAGCCAGTGCATGGCTCAATAGTGCAGGGCCCTGCCCCCTACATGGGAGGCCCAGCCCTGGAACTGGCAGTCATTTAGGGAGTGAGCCAGTGTCTAAATGATCTCTCCCTGTTTGTCTCCTGCTTTTCAAACACATGAATTTTTGAAAAAGGAAAAAAGTCTAGACCAGACATTTACAAAGTTCTGATGCTTACCTAGGGTGGGTATCAGTTCCCGTTTCTCTCTGGGATGATGAACTCTTAGACACAAAGGATGGATAGACAAGGGAACATCATTAATGTCACTAAGCTGCGACTTCTTAAGCAGCAGGTGATATTGCATGTCTACGTGTTTGTGTCTTTGATTAATAAACTTAGTTCATGGAGCAGTCTGGATGGCAACAGTTTTTACATTCCCCCTTCCCCCTCAGCATTCTACCCTGGTATGCTTACACCAGAAGAAACAACACCGGCAGTTTATGTGTTTTCCTACAATAAAGGAAAAAGAAAAGCACAAACCAAATAGATCGGGGTGTGCCACAGGGACAAGGGTGCCAAGCTGAAACTCCAATGGCTCAAGTGGAAATAATTTAAGTCACAAAATAAATTGCGGGCCCGGTGCGGTGGTGCAGTGGTTAAGGTCCTCGCCTTGCATCCCCGGGATCCCATATGGGCGCCGGTTCTAATCCCGGCAGCCCGGCTTCCCATCCAGCTCCCTTGCGGCCTGGGAAAGTAGTCGAGGACGGCCCAAAGCTTTGGGACCCTGCACCCACGTGGGAGACCTGGAAGAGGCTCCTGGCTTCGGATCGGCATATCATTGACCGTTGCACTCACCTGGGGAGTGAATCATCGGACGGAAGATCTTCCTCTCTGTCTCTCCTCTCTGTATATCCACCTTTCCAATAAAAATGAAAATAAATGTATAAAAAAAATGTAAATGAATACTAAATGTTATTTTAAAAAAATAAATAAACTGCAAGTTCATGGAAAACAGCATTAAAAGTCATTTTATTCTGGTGCAAAAACGTGGTAATCTGAGGCGATAATGATGCAGACCAAGGGGGACACAGGGTCTGTAGTACAACTTGTCAGAAAGTCTAAAGAAAAAGACAGACGGGCTACCTTCTTTACCCTACTACATACAACTACTGTGTAGGTTCAGCGTCAGAAAGCATCGACGCAGAGCTGCTCTGCAGTCTCCAGGCAGGCCTCTGGCCCTGAATGGAGAGAGGCAACGTGGGCTGGTGTGAGTAGGTGGGCCGTGCGGGACTCGGCGAGGACAGGAGGGTTACTGACCTACGCTAACACACTTAAGTACAGGACCACAGCCACAGTCACGCACTGTGGTCTGACATGGATGTCTCCAACATCATGTCACTCTCATTCATCTCAATCTCAAAGGTCTCTTCCAAGGAAGGCCTGGAATCTGGAGTCTTCCTTGAGGTATCCGGTGGAGCAAGCCCCGTGTCTTCTGTAGCCTGCTTTTCTACTTCAAATTCCCGGAAATCCCATGGAGGTGAAATAATGTTTTTTAGTGTCTTCAGTGTATGCACATCAAAGTCGTAACATTTTAGTTTGTCTTTAATGTCTGCTCCTAAAAAGAAACACCACAATTAGAAATTCCAACACACATGTCATCCCATCGCACCATAACCCTGCCCATCCTCACCAGACTGTGCAAGAACACAAGTATAGGTCAGAAGGAAAACGTGACTTTCTTTTTTTTTCACCATCTCCTAGCCGAGTCCCCTAGGACACTGCCACCCCTGTGGGCAATTTCTTTCTCAGGGAGAGGCACAAGGGCTAGAGACAGTGGGACAGTCACTACATTACACACACAGAATCCACTATGAAATGAAACACATTTTTTGTACTTCAAAGCCCTCCAGATTAACATATATGGAAATGCCCATTTCACACCATTCTAATTAACAGCATTCCATATCATGCATGCGCCAGCAGCAATAGACACACCTTCTGAAAACAAAATGCTAAAATCCCAAGATTATCCCCAAGAGGGCAGCACCAGGGGAAACAGGCCCAGACGTGGTTTCGGTCTGACTCCTCAGGGTGCTGAAGCTCATGCTGTTCTTCACCTGGGTAACACCAAGCAGGCTGCCGACATAACCCTTAGGCCCCCAGCAGACAGTCTCAGGCCACACCTGACTCCTGCAGGCAGACAGGATCATGCCCAGTGGTGGCTGCAGCCCTCATCACTGCCTTTTATGCCACCCCCCCCTTTACTTGTGCTTGTTAGTCACCTCGCAAATGGAAATCATCAGCACATACTCTTTATGTCAAAATCTAATTCATCCATGTTACTGCACGGTTTAGTCATGTTTAGTTGTGACACATCCCATCACATGACACCAGTTAATCCATGTTCTGTTAATCTAGTTAATCTAGTTCTGTGTGGTCAGTTGCTGCCCTAACACTCCCAGTGAATCCTAAGTCCCAATACCCTTGCCCGTGACAACCCCTTCACAGACTTGCTTTGATGAACGGCCCAGGATGGGAGTAATGGTGTGTAACTTCCACCCGTCAGAGGTCCTAAAGCTTAAACTCTAAGTAAGATGAAAGCCATGGAAGGGACCAGCGGTGCACACTGAAGTTTCCCAGAGCCGACTCACACGACGCTGGAGGGATGTCTCTGGGGAGGGAAGGTTTTGAGGCACAGCAGACAGCTGAG